TCTCTCATTTTCATTGCCACCGCCACTGCGCAAACTCCTGATCTCAGCCTCTCAGCTCTTAGGGTAATTCCTAGGACCCCATCACTCTTCTCTCTGCCATCTTCAGGCTTTTGCTCACCATGTCTGTATGTAGATCCACCCTGTAAACTCCTTCAAGAACTTTATCTTGAGTATTCTGCTCCTGTCCTATTCCTTTCCTTCCTTTATCTGGCATATTCCTTGTGATATTATACCTGCCCCTATTCCTAATACCATTCTCTTTAGTAATCTCTTGCAATTTGATTTCTAACAACCTATTCAATGAGAAATGCTCAGTGCAAGGGTGCCAGGTGACTCTCTTCTAATAATATTCTGCATCATTTCCTTCCTTCATTTTTTTCACATTTAAATTCATATAATGCAATGCATGAATTCATAAAACGCTTCCTCCTATCATGTCCATGAAACAATAGCATTCCACCTCCCGTCCATGACTATGTGAATCCATTAATATTGTATTAAGACTTTTACTCTTTTTTTACTTCCTCAAAACTACAAATCCCCATGCCTTCCAATATCACCAATTATGGTTCTCAACTTAGTCAATCAACATTCTTCCTGATCAGTCTCCAGCTTATTGTCAAATCCAGCATCCATTTACTTGTCTTCAGATTCTTTGCCATTGTCATTCCCATCTCTACGCCTTGACTTATATATGTAGTATAGCCCATGGAGTGCCTTCCTCTGTGCCAATTTAAATCCAATGCACTCATCCTTCAAGGTCAGCTAAAGTCCTACTTCTTCTACCAGGCCTTTGCCAAGCATTGCAGTACATTAAAGACTTTGTCTAAAGCCACATTAGACTTGTGGTCTGCTTGACAAAATGGTACCTCCTAAACATCTCTAGTTACCTCAGATATGTAGGCTTTGTTTTATCAACTATCCCTTTGAAAGCATGAACACAAGTTTTTATTCCCTGACTGCCCAGCAAGGTGCTGGGCATATAGAAGTTGCTTCATGAACTTGTTTAATGGCTTAATTCTAAACAAATACTATTAAATAAATAATGATAGTAATATCATGTCACTGATAATTCTACTCTGAGTGAAACTATGATTTTTATAGGACTACTTAGAAGGCTACAGGCAGAACGGCCACCAAAAAGTTTACAAATAATAAATGCTGGAGAGGGTGTAGAGAGGAAGGAACCCTCCTACACTGTTGGTGGGAATGTCAATTGGTACAGCCACTATATAGGGAGAACAGTATGGAGGTTCCTTAAATAACTAAAAATAGAGCTACCATATGATCCTGCAGTCCCAATCCTGGGCATATATCCAGAGAAAAACATAATTCAGAAAGATATATGCACCCCAATCTTCATAGCAGCACTATTTACAATAGCCAAGACATGGAAGGAACCTAAGTGTCCAGCAACAGATGAATGGATAAAGAAGATGTGGTACATATACACAATGGAATATTAGCCATAAAAAAGAATGAAATAATGCCATTTGCAGCAGCATGGATGGACCTAGAGATTATCATACTAAGTGAAGTAAGCCAGATAGAGAAAGACAAATATCATATGATATTGCTTATATGTGGCATCTAAAAAAACTGATACAAATGAACTTCTTTAAAAAAAAAAGAAAGACTCACAGACACAGAAAAGAAACTTATGGTTACCAAAGGAGAAAGGGGAGAGGCACAAATTAGGAGTTTGAGGTTAAAATATACACACTACTAAATATAAAATAGATAACCAACAAGGACCTACTGTACAGCAAAGAGAACTATACTCAATATCTTGTAATAACCTATAATGGAAGAGAATGTATAAAAGTTTTATATATATATATATATATATATATATATATATATATATATATAAAAAACCGAATCACTTTGCTGTATACCTGAAACTAACACAACATTGTAAATCAATTATATTTCAATAAAAATTTTTTAAAAAGAAAAAGAAGGCTATAGGCAGAATGACATAGTGGTCAAGAGTATAAGCCCAGACTGCGTGGGTTCAAATCCTGCCTGTATCACCTATTGGCTAGGTGACCTTGGGAAGGTTAATTAACATCTTTGTGCCTAAATTTTCCTCCCTGAAAATAGGGGAACATAACAGTATTTACCTCATGGAGTCATTATGAAGATCAAATGAGTTATGTTGGATACTTAAAACAATTTCTGGCATGTAGAAATTGTTCCATGAATGTCAGCTATTATTAAATGCTTATCACACATAAAATGATAGTATCTCAGAGCTAAAACAACCTTCACTTTATAAGTGAATGAGTTGAGGAATAAAGGTAAAATGATTGGCTCAAGGTCATATGGCTATTTAGAAACTTCTATTCAGTGTTTGCTAGTTTCCTCCCCAAGGGTTCCTTATCTAAACATGGAACTGAATTACAGAAGTTTAGAGTTGAAAGCGACATTCAAGGCTCTCTAGTTCATAATGCATAATCACTTGTCACAAACCTTTCATCTTTGCTGACAGCACCATATTACAGATTCTTAATCATCCAGACAAAAGATCTTAATACCATGGCTCCTAAGTTAAGAAACACATGAGGGATAGGAATGGATGCCAAGATCAGGTCCCCGGAGTCCAGATGACCATCACTAGATGAAGCCATTTTCAATGTCTATATTTTGAAAAATGAGGTTTCTTTCTCAGGGAAAACACTGTCTGGAATACTCATTATAAAGCTGTAATTTAGGTCATCCCACACATACATGAATGTTTTGCAGACAGCATGCTTCCTGGTAGGAATCTGAAATTATTTTGATGAACTTTGAATAATACTCTCTAGCAGCCAGAAAAAAGGCGCAGGGGCATACCAACTACCCATACCAGGCATAATTCCTGAAGGTTTCCATTTTCTCTGTGGTTCTCTGGAACAATATTCAGCCTGGTTGTGCAATCAACTGGCCTAGGGTTTTAAAATTCAATCTAGAAAATACAGACTCTCAAGAGGAATTGCAACAATAAAAGATTGCTATTAAACAGGCACTAATAAACCTGTGTGTAAGGATTCTCTCATCAGAAGCATTAGCATGCTATTCTCTGTCTCAACTCAAAGCTAGGAGATTTAATTTCTCTTTAATTCAAATGAAACTGTTGTATGTAACAGCAGCAATAATGGAGAAGGCTAAACTGAGTAATTATGCTGCGTGTCCACAAAGAATGTGCATCCACTTTCACCTCCCTCCCTCCTATAAACAAGACTCAAGTAATCTACATTCTCTGTGTACGATTATTTAAAATGTCTAATTGTAGTATATGGACTCTGAGCTTTATGGCTTGGGATTTTAATTCTCTAAACAGGGAGGTCCAATTACTTGAATCTGGATGTTGAATTACCTGCTTTATTCTGAAGACTGAACAGACAGACTCCATTGATCCCACAGAGGATGTATCATTCCTACTCTCTGCTTCCATAGTATTTTATTTTTATCTCTAACTTTACTCATGATAATCTAACTTGTTACACCTAATCCTTTGTCTCCTTTGTAGAGTATAAACTCCTGAGGAGAGAAGTCATATCTTATTTATCTCTGTATTCTCTCAGAGCCTTACAGTGTTTTGGACATAGTAGCTGCTCAATAAATATTCTGACATTTAATTTTAATGGTACATATGTTATGCATTTCCCAGTTTAAAGTATTGTTAAAGGAATGTCACCTTTGACATAACTTCCCTACCCATTTCTGAGAACTCTTGCCTTTGAAATGTGAAAATGGACTTTAGCAGATTCATACTGTAATTTAGATGGCTATGTAAACAGTAAGGGAGTGCTTAGCAATTACTTGTTCAATTGTAATTTTATGAAAATTTGCAGAGATTTCTTTTGAGTTGTCAGTAGTTTACAGGGACCCAGCCATCTCAGAGGCACAGGAAGGAAAGATCTCAGAGGAGTGACTGGGAGGGTATCCCAGAAAGTTTACTTTGCCTTCTAGAAAGAAGCCTGACATCCAGGTGCTGATTTCAAGACCCAGAGAGCATGTTACGATCATGGCATTCCCAAGGCCTATCTTTCCTCTTTTTCCTCCATTTTTTCTGAGAAATTGTCAGCTTGATGTTCAAGAAACATGTAGTTCATGCCCACTAGGCCCACAGACACGACTGGTGACATGATTTGCAGGGCCCAGTTGAAATAAAAAATGCAGGGCCCTTTGTTCAAAAATTATTAAGAATTTCAAGACAATGACACCAGAACAAGTGTGAGCTCTTCTAAGTATAGGGCCCTGTGTGACTGCAGAGGTCTCACATCTATGAAGCCAGCCCTGTTCTGTCTTCAAAGAACTTCTGGCACAATGAAAGGCAAAAGGTTTGTATCAGAATGAAGCTACAATTCAAGTATGTACAAGATGCTACAGGAACCCAGAAGTTCCTAACTTTGGAAAATTGTCCCAGGGACGTGACAGTTAAGCTCATTTCTGAGGGAGCAGTGCCAGGGAAGAACAATATTCCAGACTGAAGAACGGCAGAATTCACTTAACAAACTTCAGGAAACTTGTTACTTTTAGGAAGAGTGTAACAAGCAAATATGAAGGTGACTAATTGAGATTGAGAGTGGCAAGAAGCAGAAGCCAAATATATGGGGAAAAGGGGTCAAACAATTACAGAGTGCCTACTATATGCCAAGTTCTTTACCTCTATGTCATAATTTTAAACACAACAATCTTGTGAATAAACTTGTCATGCCTGGTTTGCAAATGGGTTATTTAGGCCCAGGGTAGTAATAGTCAAAGTGCTTGGTACACATGGCATCCAATAAGTACTTGAGGAATTACTGGCGGGTTGTCTGACATTGCCCAGGACTCTTAAACCCCAGGCCAAACTGATGGCTAAGCGTGTTGTTAACTCCTTCAGTGGCCCTTCCCGCCTTGCACCTCTCCCAGTCCCCAAAGTACCCTTCCTTCCCTCGCGCCCCGCCCCCGCGTTTCCACGTGCCGGAAAGTAAGCAGCAAAAGTACTTCCGGGATAGCAAAGGTCGGCCCCGGCAAGATGGCGGCGCCCTTGGAGCTCAGGTGCTGGGGAGGCGGCTGGGGGCTCCCGTCGGTGCACAGCGAGTCCTTGGTGGTGATGGTGAGGCCGCCTCGCGGGCCAGGGCGCGGGAAAAAAGGGGCGGGGCCAGAGACGCGAGGCTGGCTGGTCCGGGTCCCGGCGGCTGGGGTTGGTTCCCGCCGCGCTCGGGCCCGGCCGGCCGGGTCGCTGCTCGCTGCACCGCCTGGGGCTCCCTCCCGTCCAACGAGTTACAGCCTAGCCTGTGGCTCCGCCGAATCCTGGAGGAGAAGTCATGGATTCTCCGCTTGGCTCCGAGTTTTCTCAGCCTTGCAAAGCCGTCTGTGCAGTGGAATGAAAGCCCAAAGCAGTAGGCGCGCGCTCCCGCTCTGCATCCCTCAAACGTTTGGGGGGAAAAAAGTCCTCGAAATCTTGGTAGCGCGCAACCCCGGCTAGAAGTAGCGGGAGGGACGCAGCCCCCGAGTCAGGCGTTTCTGCCTTCTGGGGACCCAGCTTTGAAGTAAAGCTGCTCTGCAGATTTGCATTACGTATTCAGTCTAAAATGTTTTATTGCAAACTCTCTTTCAGGCTTACGCCAAGTTTTCTGGTGCACCCCTGAAAGTCAATGTCATAGATAACACCTGGAGAGGTTCAAGAGGTACAGTGTAAACTTTTAAACACCCATTTCTGCCCTCTGTAAGCACCCTCCCCCCTCTTATTTAAAGCTAGGGGGCTTGTAGCCATGGAGTATCTTGGCGTTTTAGTTCTTACCACGACCTTAGCTGTGTGTTGCTTATGTTTTGATCATTTTGAGTAATACTTAAAAGGAGAAGCCAAATCAGTGGAAATTATGAGAAATGAAAATGCTCTCCAAAACTTTTTGTGTGTGTGTGAAATTGCAAAAACCTAAAATGAGTTACTCATTTTTTTTTTTCTCCAAATGTGACTGGCATAGTTTTTAGGGTATTGGAGTCTCTTCAGAGGAAATCGAAATGCTTCCTTATATGTAAACTGTGTTGTGATTACAGGAGATGTACCAGTTTTGACAACTGAAGACAGTATTGTTTCTCAGCCGGCAAAAATACTAAACTTTTTAAGAAAACAGGTGGGTTTCTTCTGGAGAAATAGATTCTTGATCCCTGCATGTTGCTTCCAAAGAAAGTGCATTAAAAAATTTTTTTTTAGAATTCTTTTTTGAAGATACATAGGGCTTGATATAAGAATAGATTTGAGAGTCACTGCTCTAAATCATGAGTTGTACTGTGATTCAAAAGGCATATAGTGAGTTATAGTCAGTTTATATCTTCATGCACTTTGCTTGGTTTTTATTGAAGCTTAGGTGTAAGTAGATTCAATTTAACCATTTTCACTATTATACTTATTGATATGATTGTAAATTTAGTTCCATAATTGCTACACATTTTGTGCTTGGTGTGAGGTCTGAGTTCCCATCAACTAGCAACAATTTATTTTTTAAAAGCACTTAAACTAATAGTTACAGTTAAATGTTTCATGAAATAATGTATCCAAAATATCTCAACATGCCAAGATTTATATATCTAAAATGTTTAAACTGTAACAGTTTACATAAATGTAAAAGTTATCATTGATTTTGCCAATAGTTTAAAAAAAGAAGTCCTATATCAACAAAATTTAGAACTTTTCTCAATTGGAAGGTTTTCTCTTTTCAAGGGGAAAATGCTACTAATTAGAACTTTTTCCTTATTGTTAACAAGAATAATAATAGCCTCTATTAAGTTTGTACTACATGTCATGCACTAAACTAAACTAGGTCATTAACAATCATTGAAATAATAGTTAATAATAAATAAACACCTAAAACTAACATTTATTGACCTTAACGTGTGCATGATGCTGTGCTAAGAACTTCATTTGCATTAAGCAGCATTTGTCACTGAATTTGTATTTCTCTTTTCCCCTTTTAATATGTTTGCCATTTTTGAGGAAGAATAGGAGTCCTAATTTATTTAGCTTCACTGTTTTGGGATGTTCTTATGAGGTTTTTGGTTTTTTATTTTTTAATAGAAATATAATGCCGATTATGAACTGTCAGCAAAACAAGGGGCAGATACACTAGCTTACATTGCTCTCCTCGAAGAGAAGCTTCTTCCTGCAGTGGTGAGCATTGGTGAATATTACAGTATTTTAGTGACGTACTGAAAATGTACTTAGTCGATTTAGAAGAAAAATAATGGAAAAGGCTTAAGAGAAGAAATTTCATTTATGTATCAGTCTTGATTCTTTCATGTAACTGCAGAACTGGGTTGATTCTATTAGACGTTCAACTAGTGTATGAAACAACAAAGTGAAAGTTAATGTCATTTTGGAAATAAAGATTCTCTGTGAAAGATTGGAGTTTGTCCACATATAGAGTTGGGCCAACTGTAATTCATTCATTCAACAAATATTCATTGAGCACCTACTATGTTCCAGGCCTTATTCTGGGTGCTTGGGATAGAGCAATCAACAAAACTCACACATTTAAAAACATTGATTTATCCTTGAGTCATCCTAACTGGAAAATTTGTATGGAGTCAACTTCATTCAGAGATATTTATGAAAAACTTTCACATTGATTGAGGATCTTCCTTTTAGTAAAAGAATATCTTTGTAGTGTGTTTTCCCTCCTTTTGCAGCTTCACACATTCTGGGTTGAGAGTGACAATTACTTTACTGTGACAAAGCCGTGGTTTGCTTCACGAATGCCTTTTCCCTTGAGTTTGATCCTGCCTGGAAGAATGTCTAAGGGAGCACTGAATAGGATTCTCCTGACCAGGGGAGAGCCTCCCCTCTACCACCTCCGAGATGTAGAAGCTCAGGTATGATTGGAATTACCTTCAGAGCAAGGGCCCTCCAGAGGAGGGACAAGAGAAGGAGCAGGGATGAACTTATCTATAGATGCCAGTCTGAAAAGGAGTTCTCAAGTATCTTTCCTACCTTTGAGATGTACTTTCATCCTTATTAGATATACAGAGATGCCAAGGAGTGCCTAAATCTTCTGTCAAACAGACTGGGAACATCTCAGTTTTTCTTTGGAGATACGTGAGTGCATTCCCTTAAAAACCATTTTGATGTTCTGTTTGCATGTATTCAGTGAGCAGTTATTTAAAGCAAGTTCCCTTGCCTGGTCCTCCCACCCCATCCCCAATGAGTTTTTCACTTAAAAAAAATATTTAATGGATTTTTACTGTAGGAAACTTTTTCTGTTGCGGTAATCTTACATTGACTTAATATGCTACATACGTGAATTTGAAACTTCTAAGACTATTCCCACCACGTCTCCAGTCTCTATATAACACTTATGAGTAAAAATGAATCTTTAATTTACAACTTAATTTTCTTCTAAATAAAATGGGTAGAGTATTTTTTAAAAGCTACAACTGAGTAAAACCCTAGCTGCATCATTTTTATAAGCCAGAATGGGTAGTAAACCTTTTAAAAGACCGTATTGTATACTTCAGAATTGACAAATGTATTTGAGAAAAAGTGTTTTTTTAACATAATCCCAAATTAATATTTTCTATGTGCTTTTAAAAAATCCTTAATTTATTTTTAGGCCTTCTACTTTGGATGCCTATGTGTTTGGTTTTCTCGCACCTCTTTATAAAGTACGCTTTCCTAAAGTTCAGTTACAAGAACATTTGAAACAGCTCTCCAACCTGTGTCGCTTTTGTGATGACATCCTAAACAGTTATTTTAGGCTTAGTCTTGGAGGTAAGCTGGTTCCTCTTCAGCTAATCTTTGTTTGCATAGAATACTTGCATATTCTCCTAAGGATGTATAAGCCAAATTCATTACTTATTAAAGAAGTTTGTATATTGTCTTTAAATGCTGGTTTATAGAACTTCAGAAAGTTGCATTTTTCCAATTTATTTTTACTCCCATGTGTTGGTTCTTCTTTAAATAGAGAAATATATATTTGCCGTTTGTCTGTTCTGGATTTTATACAGTTCTTGCTTCTTGTTCTTTAAATATTGCTCCTTTGAAGTGGGTCATTTTCTTCTAAAAGTTAACCACAGGTATTTATTGTGTCCCTGCCAAAAGATAGCATTTATCCTAGTGCAAATGGGCAGTTACTTTAAAGGTTGCTTCTAGCATTTTGCTGTGTGAACAGAAATGAGCAGCAGATTGATTTTGGTGAGGTACACTCCCATGATTCCACTACTTCAAAACTGATTACATCAGACTGGAGGTATAGTAAACAGAGGGCACCTGTCACTTAGGCTCTGATTCTTCGAGTGTTGGGCCTTGTGCTTAAGCGATTGGGACACAAAATTTGTATGGGGAGAGTTGGCCAGAATTGTCCTTTTAAGAAATAGAAGTCATAAGGATCGTTGGTTAAGGGACAGTTTACTTTTTATAGTGGGTTATGTGTTTTGTATATAATACACTTGTATATAACAAGGGAGGGGTTAGTTAGTTTGAGGGTCATGAAACTGAGTAACTTTCAACCTTGTTACTTGGGAGCAGTGGTTAGCAAACCTGACTACAGAACAAATACAAAATCTTGGGTCCTATACCAGATTCACTGAATTAGAATCCCTTAGGGATGGATCCCAGGAATCTGTATTTTTTAAAGTTCCTCCAAGTACTTCGGATGCTTTGTGGGTAACTGTTTGGGCCTTAGAAAGCTGTTCAAATAGTTGTAACTAAAGACCTATGTGAAATGGGGGGGAAGGTACAAGTCAAATTTGAGAAGGAAATGAGGACTGTTGTGCTCTAATGACCTTGGCTATCTGCATAATGCTTGGCTAACAGGGTCTCCTTAAGGACGAATTTAGTCCTTTAGCTTAGGGTTTGGTTTTGGAGCATTACTCTCCCTCTTAAGTTTGCCTTTGAACCCAGAATGGTTTTTCACTTTGCCTTTTTTGGAGGGTGTGGTGGGCAATGGGGCACTTAGGAGGGTTGGATAGACTCAATATTCTTTGAATCTAAACAGCTTGTAAGGCTTTCAGAATTTCCTCTTTCTGATTTCTGTCCTGGCTTCTTAGGCATCTCTCCTGCTGGACAAGAAACGGTAGATGCAAATCTGCAGAAACTCACACAACTTGTAAATAAGGAATCCAACTTGATTGAAAAGGTCAAGTTTACTTTAATTGTTATTTTATAGTAGTTTAGTATTTTTCTTTCTGCAATTAATATTGTTTTGGGTTATGCATTAACTTTACCTTTTCAGTTTTTCTTTAAGTTTATTTTTTCAGAAAACTGTTTAAACATACATTTACTAAAGCTGTACAAAATACAGTGTTTTGAAGCCAGTAATGGCCTGATTGCTATGGGGAAAGATCTGATAATGGTATTGGATTTACTTTTACCACCCAATTAGTAGTACTTTTCAAGTTAGGAGACCCCAAAGCCTGGCTTCAAAAAAAGAGAGAGACAAACAAGAAAACACTCCTTGCTTGCTTGTCTGCTTCTTTCTGTCTCTGAGGGTTGACGTTTCTTGAGATTGTAAGCACCTGTGCTTATCCTTTCTTGCTAAAAGCACTATGGTGTTTTTTTCTTTCTTCCACGTAAATGGTTTTATTTTGCCTCCTTCCTATCCTCTGTTCTAAACGTTGTCTGCAATTTTTGCCAGTGTGGATATTTTGCCACTTAGGGAGTATGCATTTGTTGAGAGAGAGATTGAGGAATTGGGTGGGGGAGGGAGCCAACAATGGAAATTTCAAGGGTGATTCTAATTGGAAAAATACAAGGGAGTTATGCATTTTTTCCTCAAATGTTTGATAAACTTGCTTTTTCTTTCTTATGCAAATACATAATGCTTTATTCTTTCACAAACTAATAGGTCATTGTGGCTTAATAACACTGGCTAGAGGATTTGGGGGATTGAGTAACAGGCACTGTGTTATATGAGCTTTATATGAGTTATCTCATTTAATCTTCACAGCAGCTCTGTGTGTGCAGGTACTTTGTCATTCCCATTTTACAGATGAGATACTGAAGCTTCAAGAGTAGCTTATAACATCACCTGCCCGAGGCCTTTCAGCTGGCAAGAGGTAGAGAGGGAATGTGAACCCTAGAAATTGGATTCCAGCATGGACTTTGCAGTTAGTCAGTCATCTAACTCATGAATGAAAGTATGTATCCATTACTACTGGTGGTAATAGCCAGATTTATAACAGCCACTCTCTGGAATGACCATTTTACTTCTCTTTATGGTATTGCATGTACCTCTTAGTAAAGTTTGGGTAAGCTGAATGAAAGCCAAGTTTGTCTTAATTCATAGCCTAACCCAGCAAATCTCATGAGAGGAAATACACTGAGAGTTAAGTGTGGATAATGGAAAGATTACTCAGACTGTTTTAGATACTTTTCTGCTAGATGAAGGCTATCCAGTATAGCTTCCATTTCTATCTGTGGCAAATTCATTAGACATGTGAAGGGAACCATGAAATACCTACATATGCAGAAAGTGAAGCCAGGAGGCCCTGTCACCACTTGGTACAGTTCCATTTTGGCATCATCAATATATGAGAGTTTCCTGACCCTATATCAGCACCTCTCTCCACCCCACTTCCCATCTGCTCTTCAGTACAGTTCACTGTTTGCTACAAGACATTAGAACAACAAATTCTATTGGCTACCACCGTTCACCATTTAGACAGGAAATCTAGAGCTTAAAAAAAAAGAAAGAGTTATGTTTGAGGAACTTAGTTCTTGCAAGGAAAAAAAAGACATCACAATTGATTCAGATAGTTCACTGGGAATACTTTTTCCCTCGGAAAATTAAGAGTTAATCTTTTATTCTTTTCCCTTTATTATGAACCCTATGTACCTCTGCTGAAACATTTCCCCTGTACTTTATAAAAGCATCTTGAGAAGATAAGAGAGAGTTTGGGGCTGCTTATATTCAAAACTCTAAAAAAGCCTACCTATCAAGTAGGTGATAAGATGCTATATTCTGTTGGTTTTGGGTCATTGATGGCAGCTGATTTCAAGTCTTCTATGAAGCAGCTTAACACCAGGACCTTGCACTCTGGTTTTGGGGTACCCTGGTTAAAGGTAGTTTTCTAAGGTCTGACTCAGTTCTAAGTAACCCCTGTCCTAGTGTTTCCCGGGATGCTAACGTAATCCTTAGGGTAAGTCTGAAACTCTTGGACATTTTCTAAATATGTTCTTGATTTGTTTCTCTGGAGCAGACTTAGAACTGATCCAGTGTTTGCAGTGCCTCTGGATTAGGTCTAAAGAATTTATCCTTCTTTCTGTATCTTTTCTTAGCTTCTCTTGGTCTAAATAGTCATAGCCTTAAAGAGGTGATCTTTTTGAGTGGAGTTCAGGTCATTTTTATTGAGGCAATGTTGAAAGAACAATAGTGTTAGAATAAAAAGACCTGTGTTCACATTTCAGCTCTGATGCTAGCTTTGCAACCTAATGCAAATCTGGTAACCTTTCTGAGCTTCATTTTGCTAATCTGTAAAGTAGGGAATGATTGTGTCCGTCTTTTTGTTTTTCCTTTACAGTTGTGTTGGGAAGATCAAATGAGAACATACTTTGTAAACTGTGGAGAGTAACAGAAATACTGCTTTTACACTTAATATTTAGAAGATCTCTTAAACCAAGTTGTGCTGTGGTTGAGTTCAGTAGACTGTTCATTATGTGGAATTACTGTAATTTTGTGAGGTCATCAAGGATGAGCCATATTGCTTTCATACATATACTGAGTCAGCCAGTATTTAGGTATGATGTTTAGAATTCTTGAGAGATTATTTGCAAGAAAAAGGTTTCTCTAGCAGTCCTAGAAACATAAGGTTCGGTACTCTTCTAGACTACAGTTTGGATGGGGAGGCCACAGTCCATATAAGTGATGCCATAGCCATAAGTCAGATGTACCTTTTGTACTTTCCACAGATGGATGACAATCTTCGCCAAAGCCCTCAGCTTCCTCCTCGGAAACTGCCAACACTTAAATTGACTCCAGCAGAAGAAGAAAGTAATTCCTCACAACGGCTGTCACCCTGACAGTCTTCATGCTTTGTGTCCAAAGTCATGTAATTGTTGCAGTAATCTCTTACACTAAGTGTGTGAAGGCAAAAAGAAAATTCATGAATAGGTATAAGGAAGACTCTAAAACGAAACTTTCTATGACAGCAATTTTTTTTTTAGTTAGGAAGCTCGTGTTTTAGCTTGGCAATGCACTTTAAGTAACATCAAGGTAAATGCTAAATGAACTTGGGGAAAAAAGAAAACACGTTGTACTGTAAATAAAAAACCTGCCTTAACCTTGGCAGATTTTTGCCTTTGGTTCACATGTTGCTGGCCCAAAGCGACACTTCTGTTCTGAATGTGCACTGTTAGTTTATCCAAGTTAATTTATTAATTTAGTATCCTTATACCAGTCTAAATATCTAATATGTGGCTCTTTGGCTGAAGCCTTTTTTTCTTCTGTTTAGAAATCTGATGCCTATTTTAGATGTTAGGAAAAATATATTATTCTAATATTCTGTTTACTTCAATAGAAAAGCCTGTATTTAACTTTAAAAAGCAATGAGGAATGTGTTTTTAAATTATGCTCTCATAAGTCTAATCTTTGGGGGAGTTACTACCATACATATAAATATTAAAGATGGTTACATATAATATTTGTCTGACTATATGCACTTCAATATAACAGTATTTGCTCATGTGTTCAATACAGGTTAGCAAGGGCTGTTTTAATTTATTGGAGCTTTAGACCTGTGTATTCGTAGTACATCTTTAACTCTAGTCATCTCTTTCTTGGGTTGATTTCGGGAGAGCTGAACGTGTTAGCATCGTTATTATGCCAGGCTGTAAAGTCTAACTGACACTTGCCCGGTTGTTAGACACTACTCAGGAGGAGCTTACTGCCAGAGAACTAGAAGTACCTACTGTGCACCTGGTCCAGGTTCACCATGCTTGGCTCAGACCAGTGTTCTTCCTAAGAAACATATCATGTAGTCAAAACCTTTATGACAACTAATTATTTTCCATAGAGTTAACTACAGTTGAAGGATTCAATGGAGTAATCGGAAATAGCAGATTTTAAAGAACATTTTCTATTTATTGGTTGCTGAACTGTTCAAAGATTTCCTGTGCGGGTAATTTTACTTACAATAGAATCTTGCTTATTTTAGTGGCTGAGGTGCTTCTGCTGTCCTAAAACTACTTCTGGGGTTTTTAAAATGTAGGACCATGTTTTTGATTAGTGTCTTAAAAGATTACTATGGTGCTGAGAAAATCTTGTCACATCCTGCAGAAACCCCCAGGTTAGGAAAACAGTTTTGGACTCAAGAGACTTGTCTAATTTGAGCTGAGTGGAACTCAGCTGTGTTTGACCTGTATCCTCTCCATTTGTTCTGTATTTAGGTAGCTATTTATACAGAAGTCTTTATGTCATTGTAAATATTTTTTCTTGAAAGTTTTAATGAGAAACAGGGTAGTCTTCAAAGTCTTGTTCATCTGTTTGGACGCATTGAGAGAAAGAAACTAATGAGTTTCACATTACTTCTGCAACAGGTGGGAGAGAGTGTGTGTGTGTGTGTGTGTGTGTGTTATGCGTTAGTCTTCTGTTAGAGTCCAGCAGTCGGAAATCTGTTTGAATATTCTGTGTTGGAAATCATGACCATAGGACTTTATTGTCCTCTAGGATTGATGTTTATTGGAGATGGGTGGTTAGCACATTAATCATCTGCTTATGCTTTAGTCAGGGTTAGTCATTTTCGATTATGATTTCTACTAAAACTTTCAAAAAGTATTTGAAGTGACTTACAATTGTCAAATATGTAAAACAGGACAATTAAAATTAGTTTTTGGCAAAATAAAAAATTTGTAGGAGAAAGAACTATATTAACCCTAACAGATTCTAAAATTGAATGGTAAATTTAACTCCAGATTTCTCCATGAGCAAAGTCAAAGGATAATACTGGGTTATGTAAAGTTTTCTGTCAGTAAGGTTACTACTGTCCATGAGTAAGCAAAATGTATTTACATTTTTATAAGAATGTGTAATATCGTATTCTTACGACACAAAGATGCAGCCAGTAAGCATACTGTTTGTTGAAAGTTTAATAAAAAAATATCATTCTAGAATAACAAGTATCCTTTTTTAGTAGAAAGACGACTGTAAATATGATTTATTTCCTTTTGGTCATTCCTGCTTTGAACTGCCTTTAGCTGTATGCTATATAGGCCATGATGCTTCCAGACTATCTTTCCTAAGATGCAAAATATGATTTAGATAAGTGAGAATTTATATGCTGGGTTACTTAGTTGAGGTTTTTGGTATAAGCTAATGAGATGCTAGGAAGCTATCACTGAACACAAACCACTCCAGGGATCAGCCACACATATAGGAAGCTTTTGGAAAGGAATAACTGGGCAGAGAGCTTTTGAGCAACCTGTCAGGATATGCTTTGGATAAAGTTTGAGTTCGCTGAGATAAATGGTCCACAGTCTTAAAATACTGTGAGCCACTTTCTTTTGGAAGTGATGGTGGAGGATAATATGATAAAAGGGACTATGTTTGTGTTTATGTTTCTTGGTAGTATAGGATGAGAAAATTGGTCAGATAATTCCCATAAGATAAAGATCGTTCGTCAACAAACTGTCATCAGTTATCCATAAGACTGGCCATTCCCCTAAGACCAAAGAAACTGAAAAAGACCTTTAAGGACAGTCATTCCTACACAGTGTTTTTCCCCCTAAAAGGTTGGCACTGACAAACGAATTAAATTTCAACCTAGACATGTTTGTTTTATTTTTTGAGGGCTAGAGGATTAGAGATTTTATGTTAAATCTGAAGCATTTTGATTTCCATTTGTAATTTCTGTTCATTTAATGTGGCTAGATATATTAACTTAAAGGAATGGGTAAGCTTATTTCAATCAGAGCTAAGTTACAATTTTCAGAAGTCTGCAAAAATGGAAGAAAACTAGACATCAAAAGAGGCAGAAATTGGTAACAGTATCTCAGAAAACCAATTTTTAAAGGTAGTATCATGTGATAAAAGTGGTATTTGAAGTCAGTAATATGTTTTCTTAGAGCCTCTTCCAGGAATAGACATTTACCATGTTATTAGATTTTTCTTAAACTGTTTACTTTTTCATAAACTGTCAAAAATTGTATCCCTCTGAAACCAAAATATAAATGCTTAAAATGTAAAGACAGGAAGCTGAGGGATGGTTACATAGGATCTCTGTGTACTATTTTTGCAACTTCTTTTTGTGAGTCTATAATTATTTCAAAATAAAAGGGTTTTAAAAATAAATTCAATAAGTTTATCATTATCTAAACTATGATTTAAAATTTAATGCTTTAAACATAGTATTCAGTTCCAGATTAATAAATGCATAATATAATTAATTTATTTCATTCTTGAGTTTAAAGAAAAAAAAACTCAGGTTTATAACAAATGATAATCTACAGATCTGTTTTGCCTTATCAGCAAAGATAAAACAAGAACCCCTAAAACTAAGAACCCCTTTTCCCTAGGAGATTAAAAATTCTACGGTTTTATGTTTGTAATTGTATCTTTTTTCCCTATCGTATGGTATCCTTTTATGAGGATAAAATATTTTGGAAAAAACTCCTCCATGTCTCTGTGTGGTGATCCTTCTTTGTTTTGCAAGTGTTCTCTAACTACACTAGGGATGAACAAAATGCAGTGTGTCTGTGTGCTTTTTGTTTTTTAAGTTCACAGGGATTTAGTGATTGACTTTGTCTTGGTTTAATTATTTATATAATTGAAATCCTGAGCAGAGCCACATATATTTGGGTTGTAATGACGGTCTTTTGTATATGTTGTTGGCATTTAGAATTATCTTTTGCCTTTTTTCTTGTTCAGCTCTGTGGAACTTACATTTACTTTTCAATGTTTTCATATTTCCTAAGAAATTACTAGATTTTTAAGAAATTCGTTGTTAATTACATGAACCAAAGGTCAGTAATCCTAGTCTCAAAGGTTTAACTGAAGTTTCATTAGATCTTCAAAATGTTGATTTTCATAGAGATGTAAAGATGGAGTGCTTTGCTTTTTTTTTTTTTTTTTTTAAGGGTTTTTAAAATTATTTAGCTCCAAACTCTTGTTGGGATATAATGTTTGCTAGAAGCCCAGGTTACCTCCCCTAGACTTAAAATTATTGTGATTGAGGTGCAGAGGTATCCTCGGAATCAAAAAGCATGCAAAAATCATTTGTTCCAGATGAGGAGGCCAGTGATTACTGATGAGAATGAACGTTCTTGAACAATGATAGAAGAAAGGGTAGCTTTGAGTTGGATGTTTGTAAACAGAGAGTGGAATGTTATGATAAAAGACTATTCAGAGCAAAACAAAGTAGTTCCTTTAAAAAAATGCAGGAAAATAAGTCTTTATATCCTCATTATTATTAATTTGAAATTATATTGTAAGATAGTTTTAAACTATAATTCAGTTCTTTGGAGAAGCATTTCAAGATATATTTTGGCAGAATATATTGTTATTATACGAATAGTGGGTTCTTTGGCTAAATAGGGAAATGCTGGGTTAGACAAAGTTAAGTTACTGTAGGCTTCTCAGCACCTTACATATGCTGTTGGTGGTTTCAGACTCCAAGAAGGGCCTGTATTTTATACACTATTTTCCTAATTTATTTTTATGTGGATTTTTTTTTTTAAGTAGGTGTCATGTGGGATGTGTTCTGAGAAATACAGTTAGGGAAATGCTGCCCTAAGAGTGCTTCTGCTTGTTTGTACTCATTGCAGAGGTTTCCAGTTGTTGGCTGCCCTTCTAGTGAGTGGTGATAAAATGGAAGCGACAGGTTAGGGCTCCCTGGGACCATGGAGTTGACTGAGGATTGGCTGTGGGTTTACATAGTTTGGTTATTTAGGCACATGTGAGGCCCTTGGTCAGTCCAGCTGCTTCCCTAGAATCCCATTTGGCTTGGAACAGCTGTACAAGAGTGTGAACTGGTGGTTTCAGAGAACTAACCACTTGTTAGGCATCTATGAGACAGAGGGAACCAACTTGGAATTCCATTCCAAACTGTTTTTGGCTGTGCTTTAAAAGTACCAGAAAGGCAGTGAGTATTTATAGCATTAAAGTCACATACAAGCTAGTTATTTTATATATATATATATATATATATATATATATATATATATATATATATATGCATGCACATGCATACACACATAGTGTCTTAGAAAGTGTACAGTTCCTTCCGTGACAAAAGCAAGGAAAGTTTAATATTTTCAACTTCTATTACTGAAGACATGGTCTAAAAAAGGATTGTATGTTTGTGTATGCATTTTCTAGGATGAGGGTTTACAGTTTTTATTAAATTCTCAGCAAGTTTCTGTATCCCCCCAAGTTTAAGCCTCACTAGACCTTCTAATTTCAGAGGACTAAGTATATCTGATTTCATTTCAAAGTATAAAACCAGTTCACTCATCAGGTGTAAGGATGCTCTTTGTTTTCTGCAGTGTATATGGTTGCATATTTGGAACTGCGTGCTTTGGATGTGTATTGGTTGGAAAGCTTGCCTTTGGGTTTGAGTTGTGGTGTGGTGAACATCTGGCCATGTGCAAAGCAGTTGGATCTTTGTTCTGATTCTTTAGGTCTTCTCATGCAAATTCAGAGAAATGCCTTCTAATCATTGAGTTTACATGTCCCAGATCCCTGGATGTCTAGAAACAGTGGCTTGCCAGAGTTTGCGTCAGTCCTGAGGGAGTCACGCACTATAGAGGAGGCTGTGTTCGCTATTTGTTCTTTGACCTGTTGGCTGCCTCTCTTGCAGTGCTGGCGTCTTATTTCTTGGAGAAGGACGGGTGTACTCAAGCTTTTATGTTAACTGCATAAAGATGAGCTTTATTCTTCTTCTGACTTGATGTTTTATTTTGTAAAATAGGAAATAATGTCTTTCCATTTTTCTGTTCATCCCAAAGTGGAAATTTGAGGTGTTTGTAATATAACTTTAGTTTTCTGGAAGACTGATAGCAAAGAAGACAAGTAAGAAATTTATGTATACTCATATTGGTTTTGTTCCACCAAGCTTATCTTCAAATGGTATACATTTGAAACATCTGTTCTAGTGTATAAACACTGTAGTTTTGTTATGAAGTAAACAATCTTAAAATAAGCATTGTTGGTCATAATTTCAACATTCTAGCCTTGCCTTGTGTGAATATATTTTACTCAGAGATTGTGTATAAATACCCAGAAGTGGTGATGATGATCAATGTTGTAAAGAATTTATTCTGATAAATGAGAAACTGGATATAATGTCAAAATAGCTATTTTCACAATAAAATCTCAAGTTGCTCGAATGTTTATTAATTCCTGGTTTAATGTTACTTATTCCTTAAGGTGAATATTTCATTGGGAAGAATTTTGGGGTCGTTCAAAATAGTTTTGTGCTGGGACTGAGCTAGATAGAGGGTTGTTCTTTTTAAAATGTCCATTCTTTCTGTGATGCCTTGAGATCACTTGTGCTCTTTCCAGCCTGTGCTAAAGGAGGTTAGAGGCCTGCTCCCTAGGCCATTGTGTGTGTGTAACCTCAGACAGCTCACACAACTTTTCAGGACTCCAGTTAGCTTATCCCTTTGGCTTTATAAGTTTCTTAAGATTTTTTTTTGCTCACACAACTTTTCAGGACTCTAGTTAGCCTATTTCTTTGGTTTTATAAGTTTCTTTAAAATTTTCTTTTTTGCTCACCTAGAAAGTCCAGTGATGTTCCATGTAATTGGATGGAAGGCATACACTGAGAAAAATAATGCAACTTTAGTTAGTGGGGAAGATATTCATATTTTTTGCTTTTTTTTTTTTTTTTTTTTAATTGGGTAGCATATATGGGTAAGGAGAACCCTGTTAGGGCTGTTAGTCTAGTAAGGGCAGGTTCCCTGAGGGGATGAGTATTTGTTAGTAGAGTTTATTTTTTTTAATTGAGGTATAATTTATGTATAGTAAAATGCATCAACCTTCCAAGTAGAGCTGTTCAGGTATGTATTTCTCTCACATGAGAAGCCAGCTACATCTTTGTTGATACTTCTATCCCCAAAGAATACAAATCTTAATTGCGTATGAACTTTGGGTTTCAGATGAAATGCCCTTGGGTGGATTGAGGTGGTAATGATCACTTACTTCTTGCAAGAGAGCAGGAAAGAAGAGTTGGTGGTGGTGGGATAATAGAATTCTTTTGGGGAAAGACGACTGTTGGATTGGCCAAAAAGTTCATTCGGGTTTTTCCGTAAGATGGTATTTGGAGTCACAAAGCTGAGAACCTTTCAACAAACACCTTCAGAATTTTTCGTTCTTAATTGCTCAGCTTAGAGGCTTGACTTTGGTCTGGGACTATTTGGGGTGCTCAAAAGCTCCTGAATATTTAGTATGATGTCATTTGGTGAACAGTAGGCTGCAACGTAAGTGGTGCTCTGTTTTTCTTTTGCCATTAATAGCAGCCATTGGTAGGAAAACTTTTAAGTTTTCCATATGGGGATCTTGTCCTAAGTGAATCTCCGTAGGAGAAAGATTGAAGTAAAGGGGAAACCACTAAGATCACTGAGGACTGTGCATATGTTTGAGACAGGTATATATGAGAATAAGAAGGAAATGGTGGTGGAGAATGTAAGGATTTGTCTTACTCCATCTTGTAATTAAGTTCCTAGTTGTAAAGCAAAGGAGATACACATCCCTTCTTGATCTGACAAGAAGTTCAGGAGAAACGATGAGAAAACATGGCACATTTCTCCAGGTACATTAGTCAGCCTCCTGGAATGCTTTAGACGTCTATGATTATGAAATGAAGACAGCTGTGCATCGTCAAAGACGTTGCTAATTTCTAACACAGCCAACTCGCTCCAAAAGTTGTACTTTTCCAAGTAAGAGAGGGGCAATTATATTTATCCTGCTTTTTGAGTAAGCGAGTGAAAATAGGGAAATCTTGACATTTATAAATAAAATTAGGGATTTTTTGTTTGTTTTGTTTGTTTGTTTTTGCGGTACGCGGGCCTCTCACTGCTGCGGCCTCTCCCGTTGCGGAGCAACAGGCTCCGGACGCGCAGGCTCAGCGGCCATGGCTCACGGGCACAGCCGCTCCGCGGCATGTGGGATCCTCCCGGACCGGGGCACGAACCCGTGTCCCCTGCATCGGCAGGTGGACTCTCAACCACTGCACCACCAGGGAAGCCCAGGGATTGGTTTTTCAGATCCGAGTTTCGGGCAGGTGGTCGTCTCAAGAATTCACATTTTGAAAAAGTTAAGAAATCTTTTGGTGTAGAAGGAAGCATGACGCTTTCCAAATATCACAGTTAAGACCAAACAGATTTCAGTTTTATTTTAAATGCAAGAAGCAAACTGACTTATTTGAAGACTGTCAGATTGTGCCTATTCTGATATGTGTTGTCCCAGTTCTGTCTATGAGGGGGGAATTGTCATTTTCATCTAATGAGCATGGTTTACGTTTTGTATTACATATAATATGCAGTTCACAGAGTGACTACTGCTAAAATGGTTTAGAAAAAGGTGGGAAGGGATATAGTAGATGTAGAAATTAAAAGGAAAAAGAACCAAAGAGAAAGGAACTCTAAATATGATGTAATTGGGGCTGTGGCGAGGAAGAGGAATGGAATGTAGAAAGACAGTGGATTTTAGAGTTAGAAAGCCAGGCTTAACACAGCACACCAAACTGGTGATTTTAAGCAAGTCACTTGATTCTTAGTCTGCATTACTATTCGTTGCAATGCAATGGAATAATTGACTCTGGATGTATGAACATTTTTATGTGTGTGTTTTTTTAAAAAAGATTATTAAAATTTAGACGCTACCAATAGGAAGAGCCCCATCCCACCCCTTATGAATAACCTCTGTTAACCTATTGGTATCTAGTCTTTCAGTCTTCTGTTTTCTACACACACACACACACACACACACAATTCTGTATATATTGTAATCCTATATAGTATGTACTATTCTGTAATATGCTTTTTCACTTAGTGTTCAGAAAATCTTGTAGGTCACTACATATTCTCCATGATTTTTAAAGGCTGTGTGCAATTTCAGTGCATGATGTTACATTGTTTATTTCATTCCTTTGCAATGGACATTAGGGTAAATTCCTCTTGTAACGGTCTTTATTATATGTTATTAAGTTGTTTCTCAGGAAGATGCACCACTTTATATTCTCCAATGCCCTGTGTAGGAGAGCCTGTTTTACTGCAACCCCATGAACTTTGAGTTCTTTATCTCGTCACTAATCTAAAAGGTAAAAAATAGTTTATTTATTTATTTAATATGTATTTCTTTGATAACTAGTAAGGGTGAATATTTTCCCCATATGTCTACAGTCCATTTGTGTTTCTTCTGTAAGTTGTCTATTCATATTCTGCATAAAAGGAAAATTACTTAACTTCTCTGAAACCCTGTCTTCTCTGCTGTAAGACGGGGTTTCCATGTGGTCTAAACGGAATAACTCATTGCAGATCCAGAATATGGCAGGCATGCAACAGTATTGTTTTCCTTCGTGTTATTTCCTGGATTAAGAGCTCCCAGAGGATGGAGACTCATTATTTATCCCAGCACCTAGTACAGTGCTTGGAACAGAGAAGAAGCTCAAAAAGTTTTTGAGGAAGGAGGAATAGCTGGGATTCGAAAATATTTTGAGTATATCAGGAAAATGAGTGAGAAAAGTTGAAGCCAAGATCCAATGAATAAGTAGTGAGAAAACTGGTGGGTTCCTCAGAAGCTTATTATTCAAATGGAAGAATTTAGGTTTTATTCTCAAAGCTCCACAAGAAACAATTTCTTACAAAGTGGCTAAAGGACGTTAAATATTTGTATTCAAGGCCGTAAGTAGCCTTGAGAAGTTGAGTTATTATTTTGTAAGCTAATGAGTACATATTTTAAGTACACTAAGAAAGGTGACTAATTAAAGGAATTAATAATTAAAATTTCTGAAAAGTGAATAATTAAAAAAATGATTCTAATTTCCATATATTAGATTTGCCTAGACTAGGAGTAAACATGCAATAATAATATAATCATATTTTAAAATGGTAATAAGTTAAAGTAACCCAGAGTTGTGGTGCCTCGAAAGGAAGGAGGAGAATTGGTGTCAGGTCTTGTTTTATCCAACATGCCCTGGGATCATGGGGGAGAGAGTCAGTGATTCGTTAATGAGAGTTGCAGATGGCTCTAAATTGAGAAGTATTGTAAACAGCAGGAATGACTGAGAAATGATACAAAAGGAGCCGGAAAGGTTAGGAACATGGACAGGAAATCAAATGATTCAGCCTGGAGTAATGCAAGCCAGTCTGACATCTGGGGCCAAATAAGAAATAGAGATATTCCCTGAAAGAGACAAACATGAAAAACAGTCACATCTCAAAGGAGATTGTGGGTGTGGGGAGGGAGTAGAGGAAAACAAGAGAAGTAAGAAGCAGGAACTAATGATATGTGCCCAGTACTATGATTTGGTACTTTCCGTGTTGATTTCTTTTTGACTGAGGTTAAAGCAATTTAGTGCTATGTAAGAAATAGAGTTTTTGAGGATTAACTCAGTACCTAGTGAAACAAAAGCTCAGCCTGTCTTTTAGTTGATCCTAATGATTGTTAGAGTGTTATCAGTATAGAGAGCATTGTGGAAGTGGCTGGAATCTTCAGAAAAGCTCTAGTAGGATAGATCACTTGCCATACTCCTACCTGGCATCTCTCATTCAGTGGGTGTTGCCAGGAACTCTTGGAGCAGCTCCCTCCAGGCTCTCCTAGTTGCCAGCAGCATGAGGGGGCCCTACAAAACCTTTGGTGGGTTAGTACAGGGTCCAGCTTAAGCAAAAATAAGATGTGAGTTTCACAGTGGCTGCTCCATGAGGCAGTCTGTTCCTTCCAGCATTTCTTAGTATCCCTTATCCTTCTCTCTTGCTATAAAAGTCTAGTGATCATTTGTATTTTCTCTAGATGTCAATAAACTAAAGTCAGATTTATTGGCAATATTGGCCCACTTTAGGAATCTCCAACTCTTTTTTTTTTTTTTTTTTAATAGAGCCACCACTTCTCATATTGTCAGTTACAAGGGCTTTAGGAATTGGGTCACAGATGAAGAGGAAGAGGACCAAATTATTCTAGGGAGGACAAACCCCTAAGCAGGTGATGCTTACTGTATCCATTCCCCATCCCGAGGAGAAGACCAGAACATTGGTGCAAAGAGTATGTTGAAGGAGTGAGCTGGAAAGGAGAGGTGTCAAAGACATATCGCTTGTAGTTCCAGTTGTAGCTTGTAATGTATGTTAATGGCTCAAATTGGAAGCTTGAAGCTGAATGTGTCACCTATACCCAGACATATT